CCCCCACCCCCGGACCCCCAATTTATCTGAAAAAGGAGTGTCTGGACATACAAAAATAGTTATAGCTCAAAAACTGTTAAACATTGGAGCTTCAGATTTTTGTTTTGTTGTTTAGCTCTGATGAGGGGCTATCCATCAGGTCAACCAATGCAATCCCCCCCCACACAGACACACACACAAAAATAAATGACCCCCACCCAAGCCACTACAATTTTGGGATGCACCTACTAGTATTTTGTCATTTATTAGGAATAAAAACTTCTGAGTTTTGGTGCATCTGTGCATGCGGGGGTAATTATATTACTGCCATGCGGTATCTAGTTTATTTATTTATTGCCCAGAGCTCCTTGAATACAAATTAATCCTTGTATTGAACAATAAATACATTTAACATTAGTTTTATCCAAGTTTTCTTCAAACCGACATTCCTCAGGATGAATTGAATGRTTTTATTTCATGTACTTTTCATTATAAAAAACATTTTTTATAAGCTTGCATTGTGAGCATCATTTTTGCTCATACAGATGTGTGTGCTTGTATTTGTGCTTATTTACTGACTGAAAGGGTTTGATAAGTACTTCATACAGAGGTCAAAGTAACCAGGCCTGGAGTTATTTTAATGATATACAGTATGTAGCTGCAGATTCAGCTGRGCACTGTGGGATTACATTGGGTAACAATGATCCAGCTTGCTGTTTGTTTTAGATCACCAGTGTGCACCAGCAGCACACCTCAGTCTGCCTCCACACCAGGATCAATGGCCCAATGTTTCCAACATTGCGTTAGATTCATTTCTTTATTTCATCACCYTTTGCTTATAATAAATTCAGCACATTTGTCTCTTAGTCTTTTTGCAGTTTTAGTCAGTTTTGTTATGATTGGTTGGTTTCTCCAGTTTTATCTTATTGGGTTTTTTGTAGTCAATATTTTGTCTATGACATAATGCATTATATATTTGTTTCTGTTTGTTTTGTTTCTGGGGTTTTTTCATCCCATAAAAATCAATAGTTTTGCCAGAAACACAGCGTCCTGCTTATTGATTTTCACAAAGTGCCTACATCATAACAATAGGACGTGGCAGTGTAGGTGTTTGGGAGGATACACAGAAACTTCATTCCTCTCGCAACACCAACATGTTTAATTCTTGAATTTTTTTTTTTATTAAAGGAGCAAGTTTTATTGGCATAACCTAACTTCAGAATGAGCATTTCTGCCTCCATCTTTTTCAGGTTGATGGTTTCAGGTTCAGCTGCTCTTCCTCTTCCCACTCTGCAGCGGTGGAAGGAGATTACAGGACACACACTGCTGGAACGCTACGGCATGACTGAGATTGGCATGGCGCTGTCCAACCCTCTGACGGGCCCACGGATCCCAGGTAGATAAGTTCAGATCATTCTAAATACAGGTGGGAATGCCCTGAAATGCGCTGAAAACATTTTGGGTGTGATCTGYTCCAAATAATCTAATGTGACCCTCATGTAGGACCTCCTACTGGGGTGGGGGTCCAGTAAGATCTGATTGTTTTAGAGCTTGTTGAACCCACCATGGTCAACTGTAAGCTGTAATGTGTTGTCAGTTACAGAGCAACAGTCTGAGCAGCATTATGTTGCATTATATTCACCTAATTAAACATTAGGTTCATAGAAAAGCTGTGTCGGTGGGCTGTGTTTCACTGCTGTGGACTTTTACAGGTTAAAATCTACAGTCTGAGCTCTGTCAAGTCACTAATCATTGTTTTGTTTTTGTTGCATATTCTGTTTGCTTCGTAAATAGGCCCAACAAGAGTAAAGTTTACAAAAATGCGACTGACTTAGACCAGCCTTGTTAGTGCCGATTCTAAACAGGGAACTAAGCACGTTAGTGGGTTAATTTTTTATTTACGTTTTTCACAATATTTGTGTCTCTTTTAGACAGCATTTTCATTATTTCTGGATGTTAATTTCTCATGATTGTAGACAGGGCTGAGTATTGTTAACAACATCACAAATTAATTCAAGTACAACTCACTGAGTCATATTTCAATTCAATTTTGGTTTGATATCGCTTTGAATGATTTGATAACAGTTTCCCAATAATAAGAAGCATATAAAGAATGCATTACAGTCCCTGTGGAAAATTTTAGGTATTGATTTTTTTTTGCTATATAAACAGAAATGGTATACATTAACATTTGAAAGAAATGAAATATTTGGAAGTAAAGGCAAATTCAAGGCTAAAATAAACGAAAAATCCTGAGTCTGAAACTTTTTGTGGTGGTGATAGAAGTTTTTTAAAATTCCAGCGTCCAAACTTTTTGTTTGTCCAGCGGAATAAAAATTTAAATTTGCATGGATATGCTACTAGACATATAATTTGAAGGATGTTTTCAAATACCTCGGGCAAAAACAAATTTTCTTAAATGCAATTTTGCTTAATAGAGCAATAACAGAGTAGAACTCTTTACCATTAATTCTTATAAAAACTGAATAAATGTTACTTTTTAA